ATATAGGTCGTATATGGTAACAAATTAATTAATTAACTGTAGACAGGCAGGTTGCGAAGCAAGCAAAAATAAGGCTAAACTCGCCCCCATGTATCAGGTATACTGTGACAGGTCTTCATGAAGATTGGATAATCAAACGAAACGAAAAACGTTTAACTCAATGAAGTATTCATTTGCCTCGGGAGACAGCTCGGTCTAAATGTTAAATTTCGGTAATTGGTTATCACAAACATAGTTTCAGTGTGTCCAGCTTTTTTGGCGAATCTATATATTATGTCTGTACCTTCAGGTGGTCTACCTTCCACTGTATTATGTACGTAGCCTCTGCATGTCACACAGCAGCAGCAGCAGCAGCAGTCTCCATCACCTGGACAACGCAAAACGTCTCAATCAGTGAATAATATCGAGAGTATTAAATATATGCAAATAGAGTTCAAGACCGTGGATTCGACCATAGCATCGGAACAGGCGAGTAATTAGGGTAGGACCTCATAGGCCTCATAGAGCGTACTTACGAACTCTCGGTGTTGGCATTACGGTATCTTTCCCTTTTAGAGATCGGGATCCATTTACGAGAATTGTCCTGAATTGTTCGGGAGGATTTTTTCTAGCCTTAGAAGCGATGGTCAAGGCTGTATCATTATGATCATTGGGTACCCTAAAAAAGCCCAGTCGATCGTATATTGCACATATGCCACTTTTCTGAAAATAAAATTGAGAAACGTAAGCACTATCCGCGAAAACGTATCGTTCTTCTCATGCTCTCAGTAGCATCATGGTAAAAAGTAGAGGAGGTTTGATTGGAATAATGGAGCTATATTTGGACTGAGCTAAGATAGGCCCGTTGAGTGATGCACGTTTCGTGCATTGCATGTGATCGCTACAGAATTCGAAGTGTGAACGATGAGTGAGTCAGTTAACTCATCAGAATATTCTATTATTGTGTAATTCATTCAAAAAGTAAATTACCAACGTCACATTATCCGTTTCTTACAAGTGCTCATGCCTAATTGCGGCCAAGGGAACAGTCGTCAACTGAAGTAGCTTATTTGGTAAGTTATACTTGCCGAGAAAAATTTCACCGGCAAAAACTTGCAAGAGGCGAAAGATCTACTAAATACTGAGCATCCAATGGCGATAGGCGCTATTTTAGACCTAGACCTAGCACTGCTAGTAGAAATAGAGAACATTTTGCAGAAAACGTACAAGACTCCGCGATTTGTTTCGCTTTACTGAACGTCCATATTCTTTTCTGAGGAATGGACAAGGACGTGTGCAAACAAACCGGTCCTTATACTCGATAAGCTGAGATTCTCTAAAGTTAAGGCTTTCTTTTACAAAAGCTAACGCACCAGAAGCAGGCTTAGTACTCCAAAACTTCAAATTATTATTAAAAAGGTCTTTGCCCCAGTGAGGGGTACCGAAGTTTATTAACACATGGCCAACTATTAGCAGATATTGATCACAGTTTTCTAGTATTATTTTTAACTACATTTTTGAAAACGGTCAGATCTAATTTATAAAATTGAATTGCGTTGTATACGATTCTAACCAAACGATCGCAATATAAATGCATCTTCTATTTATTCCCAATGCAATCAATTATAATTGGCCTACTACATATAGACGAGGAAAAAAGAGAGTTCTATTAACCGGGCAGCTTCTGCTTCAGGTATTCGCATTGCATACAGTACGTTTTGCCATAAATGTCTGGTCAAAGTTAGTTTCTTCTTGAACACAATGGCAAACAACTGATAAAGAAATTTTTTTGGGGAAGCCATACTCAGTATATCAGTTTCTAATATCAATGTTACGACCAAGTCGTAGATGTTAGGACGAGCGAATCGGCAAAAGGCAATTGAACAGAGTCCTAGATGAGCGCGACCCGACGTCATGTTACAGGCGTCGTATCGCTGTGTGTATACGAATAAATAGACGGAATCAGAGGGTGCAGCAGGACTGATCATATTAGTGGACTGTAGAAAGAGCTGCGCGAGTGCCTGTGAAGGATGAGTTTCGCAGCGTATGATGATAGCTTAGCATGCTTCGTGCAATTTGGTTGCCCTGCGCCTAGTGAACGACCAAATCTAAATACCACTCGAAGAAGCCGCGAAGGAATTCAGGGAGCCGCAACCAGAATCAGAAATGCGATTAGAAAGGCAAACCGACCTGTAAATAGAGATTGCATGTAAAGGAGAGATTGTTTCGCGCTGCCTGTCGGTGGGCTCTCAATAGTCCTGTTTAGGAGTACTGCTGCTGCTGCTGCTGCTGTGCATATTTTTGGGAGTAAGCATAGTACTGGTGAATATTCTCGGCAATGGGGTGATGCCAAGCCCATTACTAACCCTGACCTCGTAGCGTCTTGCCTAGGGGAAAAATCCCCACTCGCGACCTTCTATGCTGCATTTTCACCTCTCCCCTTTTAATCAACCATTGAAGCATTCGCCATTTCGATAGGTTGAGTGGAATCTTTCTCATTTTGCCCTCCACTCTGCTGTTGCTACGCCTGTATTTTTCCCATAGTGGATTTGTCCTTTTGCTTTGACCCGTATGGCGTGTGAAGCTCGCATGGACGCAACACACCGAGGCTGCTGCACTGTCGTGGTGTTCACTGCCAGCTTACAAGTGTCGAAAGCCAGCTGCTTCGTGGGATGCGAATATGTGGAATGCGAAAACTCATAACATATGAGTTGAGCCGTATAACCCACGGTTACCGAATCGACGGGTACGAACTGAGGAGGAGCAAGTTAAGAAATATAACCTGCCGTTATCAACTCAGTGGGAATTATCGAGTAGATCGTTGAAAAACGTTGAGGATCGAAAATTATCCACGGTATGGTCTTGTGAAAGCCGAGTTATACATACCATCTCTATCTAACGGTTATGTTGCGCTTGTGTAGTCGGACATGAGCGTCCGGGGTCTGGGCAGCACATTAAGTAACAGGCTAGCATCCGAATGCAAACATCACATAACCAAACAAGCGTAGGACACATGCAGGGAGGAGCTGCGACTGCAACAAAGGGAGTGCAGGAAATCTTAGCTAGCATTATGCCGTTATTTCGATGTGCAACCATAAGAACCTACAAATATACTATGTTATTAATATGTTTATAGATATAATAGATATTAACAATAAGAGACAAAGAAAACATCAATTAGTTCAATTTCCAGTCAATTAAAACTGCACATCGTAGGAAAAATACAAGAGCACATTGTGTGGCCCGCTAAAATTATTGTTTTAGGCCACAAGAGTCCATTTTTTTGGCTATTTTAGCTAGTAGAGCTAGGTCATGTACAGACACGTCAGTAATCCCCTTATCTTGTTCGGCCCCTTACCCACATTACCTCTATGGCTTATCTTCTTGAAGACAGATTAACTGAAAATTTAGTCAACTTTTAACTTTGGAACACTTATAATAAAGAACAAATCTCCAATCTGCGCTTTTCAAGTAATAGGCAGACAGTCAAATTGTTTACTGGTGTGGAACGTGCCAGCTCTGCAAAATTCTTAGAGTAGTCAGTAAACGGCACCAGCCGAACGCCACAGAGGCTAGAAGGAATGGGTGTAAGCGGTGTTAGGAAGCAGACCTTCTATTCCCTACTTTGTTCTATGCAAAATGAGTAGATCTACAATTTGTCCTCTACGTTTGCTTATGCTGTTTAAAACTTCGAGGCAGTCGACTTTGAGTCTAACTTGCGCTAACCATCACATTTGTTTGTTTTTTTTAGACTCCTGAGTGCGCAATCGTCATGGATGAAGGTACTGCAGTAAGTGCTGCGTATTTTATTGCCATAGTAAAAAATCACAAATAAAATCCGTTTCTATAGAAAGAACTGCCGGTGAAGATTTTTTTGTGCTGGTGAAATGAGGTGACCCTTGTAGAAGAAGCAAAAAGATTGATAAGCGAGAACTTGCAAGCAGGCGGGTAGCCGTTTTACTAGCCTGCAGGGATCTAATTCCCTAACCGTTAGCGCGGCCGCGGCGAGCGGGACCAAAGCAGGTCACACTTACTGCACGACGTCTCTCTACGTCGACATCCTCGTTTACGTCCTGTGTCGTCTTTCCATACGCGATGTATGTAATCGAATTAGACACAATGAGTGGCTGGCTAGATGAGCGTTCCACTAGCCAGGAATCACCATGGCAATGTTCATAGGAGCGGAGCCGACACGAGGTGGTCGAAAGGCTAAAAAGACAGAAAGAGGTAACTTTATTAACCGAGCGCGCGGGTAGACCCACGGGGAAAAGGAGGTTAGTAATGGTGAGCGAGTGAAGGACAAAAGTACCAACATATATCTTACTTTGTTACGGTAGTAGTCAATGTCGACTAAGGCCAGCGGGAACGAAATAGACCTCTCATTTGCCCAAATCATTTAGCCCGCGAGTCAAAGAAAGGGAATTTACAAATGGCTGAGAGCACCAGAGATGTGCAGAGATCCTGGTGGTTGTCCTTCTAATTGCAGCCACAGCAGTAGCAGCTCAAGGAAATCGACTTCGTCGCGTTTGCCGAGCCGGCGCTAGCCAGTGCCTGCCGCTTACATCTGTTGCTAGGCGACTAGCAACTGGCGGGCCTAGGGACATTGACTGTCCTTTTTAAGGCACTAGCTATTCAAGATATCGACAATGAGGAAAATCATCACGCGTAGAGGATTTACGATCGACATATATAGCCCAGTCGGTGGTAGTGGCAGATAGAAAGTTGTAACTTTATATTGCCTTAAGCATTCATCACCGCTGGGTATTTGTTAAGCAAATGCGGTATAAATGAAAGAGGTCACCTCTTAAGAGACTAAACAACGACAGTGACAGAAACAGGCAACACCATCAGTCGGTATACCGAGCACTGCTGCCGTGTAGGCGACAAGAAGTATATCTGAAACGATGTTAAGAGAAGCTTTAAATAAAAAAAAATATTCTGTTGGTGCTAATAAACACACGTGTATATTTCGGACAGTTAACTGGAGACAGGTTAACAGGAGACTGATCACGGAAACTCTGTCAAGTATGAACATATGATATCGTAGCCCAGTTGCAATTATGTCCTAATTTAAAGGCTCCTTATGGTAATTCGGATCAACTACAGGTTGTGCTGCTAGTTTTGCATGCACAACGGCTCTAGTCTACACGGTTTATTTTTGCGATGACAGTCAAACATCCATTGTTCGACACAAATGAAAAGCACAAAGGCTCGAAAAAAAACAAAGGCCTAAACTATTATCTAATAGTTTGTGCAAATCAATCGACTCATAATACCTATACAGCTACACACGTGTAGATCTACTATAGATAATGATATTTGAAAGCAAACAACAACAATATTTCAATTTTCCTATCGATTGTAATACATCGTTGTCTTCCGGCAATGATCGAGTCCCTCACGCAGAAAGGATGAGTCACTGAAACATACCTTCAAACCTTTTTTTCGTTGGCCATTCGCTCCTTTCCTCTGAACCGTTCTAAATACTTCGCCTATCGGCCAGTCCAGCCAATATACGAATCCCAGCTATCATTTCAATACTATCGCCGCATTGTGAGTTTTACGTATACATCACCCTAACTTAACATCCTGTTTCATCGAAACATCGGCTTTCGACCCTTCAAAGCCAATAACGATTTAGTTGCTGGACAGTTATAGAGTATTCCTATTTTAACTTCAACTGAGCACGCATTGAAAACTAAGAGAAAACGTACATTTCACTTCGGAACTGTAAAGGCGAGTCGGGATGGCCTTCCGCAAATACTTAGAACGGTGATATAGGAATCTGAACTTATTTGTACACTTTCTGTAAAAGAAAAGTATTTATAAGCATCCAGTTCTAATCACATTTATTCGTTTTTTCTTTTTTGCATTTGTACCGTTTTTCGTTTGATGATAATAATCTAAATAAAAAAAAACCGCAACCAACGAGGTGACGTGCAAGCAGCTTGCATATTATAATGATAGCGTTCGATCGCGAACTTGGAGATATTGCCTTTTAAATCAAATGCCAAGACAGAGGTTTCATTCTGTAAAAACATATAATCTATCAGAAACATCTACTCCGGAGAGAGAAGCCTCAACTGCACTTCGGCTGGAATACACTTAGGGCCTTTTCTATTATCTAGTTCAAAATTTGGAAAATCTGAAATAGAATATTGAGTCAGCTCCTTCTTAGTCAACTAATGAATGTATGTGTTACTTAACCTTCAATCACAATTAATCGAGGTTATTCAGTGCTCTTCAACGCAACTTCGTTAACTACTCTTCAAGCTGTTCTTTCAAGGGTTGTAGTTGTTTGTTAGCAGATTCGGAAGCCATAAAAGTATTTTCCTCATGCGGCCATCTTCGCAGACGTCGTCTTCTTCGGTTTCTTGTGTTCAGCGGTTGGGAAGATGTCATCCATGCGACATGGTAGTAGTGCTGGGTGCAATTGCAGCAAAAGGCAGGTGTCTGCGCGATGAAAAAATTCATTTGTTACTTCAAGTATTCAAAGATACAGTCTTTCATTAGGAACATGGCGGCAAGCCAGCTGCGGCTGTGCGGCCATATTCTTTTTCCCATCTGATGAAAGATCGCCAGTAACTTAACTTGCGATGAGACCATTCACTGATAAATTAATGAATTATAGGTACAAAACAATCCAGCCATTGAGGTGACGGTAAGCGTCATCATTCGAATCGTATGCGTGTATGCTTATTAGATAGAATTTTTTTTTATTGAGCGGGTCGTACGAATTTATCACTCGGAACTGATAATTCTCTGAACGCATGACAAGTCCACTTTGATCGAAGGGATAGCAATACAGAGTTGGCTAATTTCAATGATTCCTATTCACAATTAAATTGACGTCTAGGGAACGTATTTTTGTCCTGTTCGAAGAGAAACGTTATTAAAAAGAAAGTATAAAAAATTTCAAATGTGTACGATATACATATTGATACTCAGAGTACTTTAAATACTTCAGACATAATAAGTTAATGCGTGTACATTCGCGTTAACTTATTGCCTTCACAGGCGCTATCACACACGTCTTTCAACATCGATGCCAAATGCTGCGCCGCTTATCCTACTCGTCTAATCGTAAAGAAATAGGACTTATCCGTTGAAGACCCGTCCTTCAGACATACAGACGAATACATATGAAGTTCCCAAAGTCGACTTTGTGGCTGTAATATCTGCTTCTAGTGTGTTCCATCGTACTTGCACTGTTCAAAGGGCCCGCATATGAGTCGGTTGGCTCACGGCTACTTGGAAGAAAGATGCCCTCCATAGACCACAAAAATATAAACAAAGACAGAGCATCGGCAAAGCTTTATTCTGTCTCCTATATTAGACCTTTTCGGGCCAAAGTAGAATTTCATAGAAATCGACCGTTTTTTGATTTCGTGTTGATTTATAGATGAAGAACAAATCGGTTCTCGGAACCGTAAACATCTGCGAACATCAGAAACGAAAATATCTGCGCAGAAGTGTGATACGGTGCGCGAAAGACCGAGAAAGGCGGCGCGCTACTTCATTTTCAAGCGTTAAGAAAGTTTTAAACCATTTCCAAGTTGTATACGACGCGTACTTAGAATATGTGAAAAGCTATCTAGCGTCCTTCTCACTCTTCATCATAGCGAGTGGGCAATCTAATAGGACAGAGCTGTACAGACGTATCTATTTTGTACCTCTGCAGATGACTAGAGTAAAGTTTACCGAGACACATTTGCAGCTTTACCACTGAGACATCGATCTGACCACATATAATTAAGAAGACAAGTACATCGGATACGAATTAAGCCTAGATTCTTTATTTTAATAATATTTGATAGCAGATATATAGGGTTGCTCAAAAATCTGGTTTCCATCTCGTGCCTTTCCTCAACCATAATAACCCAGCAAAAGCTAGTAACAAAAACACAGCAGCGTTTCCTACGACGCTAGAAACCGCATAAAAAAAGAACCATTGTAGAAATCCGGAGTTCGTCACAGTGATATCCCGCGAGAGTAGAACGCGAACGACACCCTTCGTGCGCAATCGAGACTTTGAGGCGATTGATCAAGAAATTCATAGCGACTAGCTCGCTCGCGGACAGAATGATGAAGTGACGCAGAAAGAAACAATGAGGCTGCCAAACAGATAATAACATCGCTGCGGTATAGAGAAGTGTAGGTACCGATCGACCAATCTCAAGACGACGTCGTGCCCAGTAACTCTGCCCATAAAGGAGGACTTGGCAAATCATTATAAAACGTTGGACCTTCTTGTGGATCGAAATAAACGCATTAGATTAGAACAGCTTTTGGGCTTCAACAGTAAAAGCACTTGCCACACCGCGCGTGAGGTAGGCAGCTTAAAGCTATATTTATACAACCACGGCAGTGACGTCCGATGATTTAATTACAGTCGATCTTTTCCTGTGTGGCCAGATGAAAGAGAGGACGGATCGGACAAGCCGGAAACAATACATGGCCTGAAATAATTGTATTCGTTTGAAAACGCTATACGTAAACCGTGATTGCGAGTTCTGCAACATAAATTGAGCAAGGCAAACGACTCTGCGGGGAACGCTGGGCTCAAATGATCGTATACAATGCTTCGAAAGCTAGTTTCCATAGACATAAAGTAACGTGCAATAAATACCTATTTCTCTATTTCAATTAGCAATCAAGACTGCTACGCAGCAAAAATCAGAGATCCAATCTGGTAAAAATAAATGTATTTCCAATACTATACCGAATAGGACGTATTCGAAATTTGTGCCGATAGGCGTACGTAGAATTATTTACCGATAAGTATCTAAGGATGGTCAGAGATTTAGCTTTGGCGTTGATTTTACATAGTGCGTATACGAGCCACCTGAGCAAAGTATTATGTCGGTCAGTTGAAAGCAATTTGTCTATGCCAATTCAACTAAAAATCCTCCGAATAGGGAGTCACTGTTTTTTTCTTTATTAAATCACAATAGATAATGCAGACGTGTTGCCAAGAATCGCTGCTTTAAATAGTAGCCGTGAGCAGCGCATATATAGGGAGACTGTGACCGCATTAATTATATTTGTGAAAATAAACTAAATAGAATTTAGTTTATCGATGATCACAATTTCGTTAGGTTTATATAATTATTTATGTTGAAAGTAAACATTTTGACACGTGCCTGAATTATCCATCCCTTTGTCCGTGATCCTCTTAGACACCTATGGTTCCCAGCGCCACCTATGTTTCGAATAACGTTAGGAGTTTCAAGCTACGCACTACAGCTACGTAAAATCGGACGGATCCACAAACCGTCGTCCTCCTGCCTGTTTTGATCGCCAGGCTAGCGACACTAGCTGTGGTGGTGTCATTCTGAGTATCTTCCACTTCAACTGCTTCATGGTCTTGTATCCTTTTCATTTTGCCCCCCCCCCCCCCCCTGGGGAAAAGAAAAAAGCCCCTGGCAATGTGCAGTCTAGTTACGATTACTGCTATTGCCGGCACTAACTACCACTAATACTACAGTCTTCTATCGTGGATAGAAGCATTGGTCTAGGGAGATTG